CCCGTTTATTTATCTTCCTAGAATTATCGGCCTATATAGCCATCACCTGTCGAGCGCATGGTAGACTCCAAATCCGGAGTCGTAGTCATAGTGGGGCGACATCTCCGCACGAGTCTAATACTACCTCCAGCCATTCTCACCCCGAAGAACCTCCAACATTCCAGCTTTCCACCAAATCTTCAAACCCTCAATTAGACAACCTCATCAGTAACCGTAACCATGGCCAAAGCAACCCGCATCCCCATCCGAACCGAAAAAGCCCCCCTCCCACCTCCATTCCTCTCTCAGGGAATCAAAGTAGGGGATATGATCTACTGCTCCGGGCAGGTCGGCGTGGATCCTACAACGGGGAAGATGGTGGACGGCCCGATACAAGCACGCACTGTACTTTCCCCTTCTCCTCTACAATGCTAAGTTGAAACGATGAAACTAAGGCAAATGCAGAAGCAAATCCTGCACAATCTTTCCGCCGTCCTGGAAGCAGGCGGGTCGAGTCTGCAGGACGTCGTCAAGGTGAATATCTTCCTGGCTGATATGGGGGACTTTGCGGCTGTGAATGAAGTCTATCAGGCGGCGTTTGGGGAGCCGAAACCGGTTAGTTTGCTTCCATCTATTTTGCGTTTTGAGATGAGGTGGATGCGGAGGCGGATGCTGATTCTATGGATTAGGCGCGGACTTGCGTTGCTGTTAAGACGTTGCCGTTGGGTACGGATGTGGAGATTGAGTGTTCTGCGGTGGTGACCGGGGTTGTGAGGGATTCTCGACTCTAGTCTAGGTCTTATGGTATGATGTTGGGAGGTGTTGTCATGTGTTGTCATGTGTTGGCGGGGATGATAGGTAAGGTGTCTTGAGGTGACTCTCATATGGCTGGTGTTGATGAGGCTGGACTGGATGGTATTGCTGGTTCTCTACCAGAAATTCATATTTCTTGACCCATTCAAGACAAAACGTGGCTCCATGGACGATGGCATATCCGTTCTGCTGGCTTAGATCAGAGCTGTATAGCCAAGTACGGCTTTAATTTATGTTAGTAGTGTTGTACCTGCAGGAGGATGAAACAGATGAAGAGATGGTTAAGTGTCAGCCAGTATCTACAACATGCTGGCTATTTAGAAGTTACTGACAGCTCATCTTAAACCAGATCACCAGCGGATTTTGTGGTAATGATATGCTGAGAATAATAATACCTCAATATCAGGCTGTACTCCGTACCGAGCCATAAAATCCTGTACCGTGTAATGTAAAGTTGATTGATCCGTCAATGGGACATTTTGCTTTGTAAAGTGGGCCGTTGTAGCTCATTTTCAGGAACAGGTTTAGCGTCATTTTACCGACTCAGGTACCAAGTCCAGCAAAGTCTGTCTTTTACCAATCTGGAAGTGTCTAGTCTCGACAGTCACATTTTTGGTCGTTTCATCAACCAGAACATTTTTTGATGCATCATCTGGCATGAAAACATGACTCACTCTAAGCACATGGGAGGAATGTCTAATGACGTTGATGTTGTGTTGGAACCTTCAAGCTTGACGATACCGCGTGGTGCCTGGAATGAAGTTTTGCCCTGACTTGAGCATGATGCTGTAGATAGCTGGAGTCTCAGGAGTCAGGAGGCAGCTAAACATCTACTCTGTAAGATATTGTCTGTCGGATGCTGGCATTATTACTGAATCAGGACATGGCCTCGCCGTACCTTTACTAAAGGTCGCTAATCTGCTAAGGTGGCATTTGCTACTTTGTCGCTTGTACTAAGCGGCTTCAACTGTTCATTTTCTAGTAGCGTCCAGATAGAATACTAGAGGTGCTCACTTGACAGCAAATGTGCAGTTTGACCCTCGTTGACTCGGTAAGCATCTGTACCAGGCTCGGAGCGGTCCAGCCACAAGGGATGAAAAGACGACCGTTTCAGCCTCCCACGCCGGGTCGCTTATGGTGCTAGTACTTCCTGCCAGGGGAAAAGCATGTGGAGGTAAAACATCTCCTTATTGATAGATCCTAGCACTCGGGAGAGAGACATTCCCGTGCGACATTGATACCTGGCAGATTGCTAGTCCAATGGAGATAAATAATCGGTTGAAACCTGGAAGCTGATATGATGATTGACATGCGCAATGTTCAGCATCAGGCTAACGAAGTTTAATCAGCAATAATCAGTTTACTTGCAGTGTTTCTCACGCTATGACCGAGATGGTCTCGAAATTGAGCGGGCGTTAGACTCGGTGCAAGACAAAATGAGAAATTGATCCCCTAGGTTCCTCATTCAGGTCAATGGTGTCGGTCTCTATGACACGCTACGACACTAATAGAAGGCTTTACTGCAAATATGTTAGCGTATATCATGGTTCTATTTTGACATGCTGTCTTTTCCCCTGAATGCTAAGTGGCCTGTTATTGTGACTCCTGACTCCTGCTTCTACGCGATCCATGACATGGAGTACAGAAATGATGCCTCAGGTTAGGAATTTTGTCATCGTCAGGTACCTTTTGGACGATGGAGACTCCGTACGCATAACCATAAGGCTGTGCTTTTAATCTAATTTATCAGACGACGAGATGCATTGAAGAGGAGAAGAGGGCTCAGTCCTCGCTTTGTCCATTCCTTTCGGCTGTCACTAGGTTAGCTATTAAATCACCATACGACTACTGTATCACCACGCACCACAATACTCCACCACCACATTTACACAATTCATCTAAGAAATGGGCATAAGTGGACTGCTTGTGGTCCACACACGCACTAAAATGACGCCGTCATTCTAGACCTTGCGGTGGTCCGAACCTTGACAGAATAGGCTTACTGCAGTGCACCGTCAGCAAGAGGCTGGGGAGTTGGTCGGATGGATCATGGGTGATTGGTTGAGTGGGCTGTGGAGGCCCAGGGCGGGAAATGCCGGGAATTATGATGAGCATGCCTGGCCAGCAGATCGGCATGCATTGTAGAACCAGCACTGGGCATCAACGATGATGTGGTAGTACAAGACTTCTTCGACTTGGTCAACGACCAACGAGAGGTCAATCTGCAAGAGTCGGAATTAGCCTCCCATGGATGGATGGACAAACTGAGGAACTCCTTCATTGAACTTAGGAACTGCATGTTTTCTTTGTTCCAGTGTCATCCAGGGGAATGTTCAATCGTGCTTCGAAATGCTTGTGTTGTGCCTGGCCTTTCAACACCGCCACTGCACTGCTTGCTTCTGGGCTACAGGTCGACTACTACAGTGGTTACCATTTTGATTTGTGTACCTTTATCTTGAAGGCGTCTCTTCTTCATGACTCGCCTTCCTATTTCGAACTCCGTCTGGTTTTTCTTTTGTTGATCGAGAAACACCATGGACCATCTAGACTTCTCTTCTGATTTCTCCCTTGCCCTCTGATCGACTCTGTTCTCTGGACCAACTCAAGAAGTTCATAATGCTGAGGGAGATATCTACAGCTGCCAATAATGACGACACAAATTAGTACTATTGTGATCTTTCCGAGGAATGTTACTCTGTAGAATTGTAAAGTGGTACATCCTCAGGCAGTGCTACAGTAGCCAGCCGCCGCAGTGTGCCTTGCTGACTGTCATTATCTCCTCCATAAAGAGAACCATCCAGACTGATAGACTGGTTGCATCACGGCCAATATCTATAGATTAGTACATCGGCTGTAAGTATTGTAGGACATCAAGAAGGTGATTGCCAATGCCAACATCTCGAAGAGCCGTTACTCAAGGAATCTACTTCGTATAAGGACACTGTACTTTGATTGTGTAACCTGCAAAGTGGTGCGTGTCCATAGCGTGTCCCTTTACTCTGCATGTTTACCAACAGTACGTTGTATTTCCTGTAATATTTCTGTAATGTTCGGACTTATCTTTCCATCTTCACGGCCATGTACACTGGTAAATATGGCCAGCCCGTGCATATTGATACAGTACGGTAACAATAATAAATCCTGCTTCTCTTTTCCACTTGCTCTGCGCTAACAACGAAAATAAACCTAGCTAACCTCAAACTAGTCAAAGATAGTCCTCCATCTCCGCCTCAATTAATTTCGCTCTCATCTTCCAGGTCCCTCTTTCTTTAGTCACCTTGCGTCTTTTCAAGTGCTGCCGTCTGTCCTGCATTTGGTCACTCTTTTTGTTCTTTCCCCCTCATCTTTTATTCTTCTTCTTTTGCTCTCAATTGTTTCGTCTATCTTCCGTCGATAGTCGGTGTTATTGTTGGTTGACGTAGCCCATATTATTTACTGTTGGGACCTGACAAGCGCGCTGCCTCCTTGCATCGCATCCACTCTCCACCGGCCCCCCCTCTCTCCCACGGTCGCGCCTCTCGCTTCTACCAGAGATCTGCCAGTCCTCCTTACTCAACAGGTACATTTTATCCATCGGTCTCTTCCACCAGGACCTTCACCACCTCCTCCACCTCATTATCCACGACAATAACGCTGTCTCTTTTTCCTTTTATTTATTTTTGACGTTTCTAATCTAGATATCGTCGTTCGTTCCTTACAGCACTCACATTCGTTTTGCAATTCGCTTTTGGGAACAGTCGACTCAATAGCTTCCCTTGTCGCTCTTTATTCGCATTGTTTATATACTCGTTCTTTATCACGAATCGATCAGCTTTGACGTCGACGCCGCTATATCGCTACCATTTGGATCCTCGAACTCACATCGTCGAAGTATTTGCATTGGATCCAGCCCGCCGACGCTGTCCGTTGTCAATTGTCAGCAAGGGTGTCCGGCTTGAAGAACCTGTGATTGCGTCCCAGCCTCCTAGTTACGAACGGTGTATACGATTTTGGACGTGATAGCAGCATTTCCCATCGCCCAGCCGGCTGCAAGACCTGCATCGATGCATTGCCGAGCGTGACGGATAATATTGAGTCTCTCTCGTGACCTACCTTTGACTATAGGAGCCCTGCTGAGCTTTCGGCTCCGTCCATTCCTTTGTGCATCACTGCGGCACCGTCAACTTTAGCCGTTCCTTATTGCGAGCAATCAGTTTGGTATCAAAATCATGCGTCCTGCGACTCATCTTGCTGCGGCCCTCCTGTCCCTAGGAGGTCTCGAGCTTGTCGCGGCCGAAAACGCTCAGGAATTGAAGCCTCGCTTCATTGCCAAACAATTCAAAAGACATGTCTATGGACGTGACTCCTCTGCCGCTGCGTCGTCGAGCACTGACACTCACTTGAATACAAGGGCTGATTTGAATCCTTTCATCTCTTACTTCAACAGCCTGCTTGAAAATGGCGCCGCGACAACTTCCACTCCTCAGGTGCCTTCAGAAGCCCCGCTCGTCGCCCTGCCCATCGTCGTCTCGGTAGATGCCAACGGTGTCTCTCACACCATTACCGCTAGTCCCCCAATCGTGCCAACCCCCACAGCGGCCCCTTCAGCAGGGACATCTTCTGATGCGGATCAGTCTACTCAGGTGACGACTCCCTCAACGGCGCAGACCTCTCCACAGGCCAAGACAGACACCTCAGACAACTCCCAAACTCTACCAGCCTCATCGACTCCTGCCACAAGCAGCGGAAACGTCGTTGGCGATGCCTTGGGTGGTGTGGGTAGCCTTGTTGGCGGTGTTCTGGAAACCTCGAGCAGCTCAGCCAATGCTGTTCCTACAGTAAGCTCACCCGTCACTGATGAACCCAAGACCTCTGAGAGTTCGGCGACAACTCCCTCACCAACGGCGCAGACCTCTCCACAGGCCAAAGCAGACCCCTCGGACAACCCCCAAACTCTATCTGCCTCATCGACTCCTACCACAAGCAGCGGAAATGTTATTGGCGATGCCTTGAGTGGTGTGGGTAGCCTTGTTGGCGGTGTTCTGGGAACCCCGAGCAGCTCAGCCAATGCCGTTCCTACAGTGAGCTCGCCCGTCACTGATGAACCCAAGACCCCTGAGAGTTCGGCGACAACTCCCTCACCAACGGCGCAGACCTCTCCACAGGCCACAGCAGACACCTCAGACAACGCCCAAAGTCCGCCAGCCTCATCAACTCCTGCTACAAGCAGCGGAAATGTTATTGGCGATGCCTTGAGTGGTGTGGGTAGCCTTGTTAACGGTGTTCTGGGAACCCCGAGCAGCTCAACCAATGCCGTTCCTACAGCAAGCTCACCCGTCACTGATGGATCCAAGACACCCGCGGGCTCGACGACCGAGAGCGCTGATCCCAGCGCAAACTCTACGACGCTAACGGGTTCCTCATCTGTCGCTGCTCCCTCTCCTGCTGAAGCGACTCCGACCCCAACCGCGAGCTCGTCCGGCCTCCTGGACACTGTTGCCTCGAATCTCTCTGGAATTCTGCCTGGAGCTTCCAGTCCCCTTGCGTCCGGAGCTGCCAATACCAATTCATCCACCAACACTGATGGCACTGCTACCCCCTCAATAAACGTTATTCCCTCTTCGACAGGCAACAACTCTCCGACAGAGGCTAGCCCCACCCCAACTTCAAGCTCGGGCGGCTTGCTCGATTCGTTGACCTCTGGTATCTCTGACCTGTTGCCCGGTTCTGCTGCATCATCCTCGACCGTCACCAACAGTAGCAGCGGGGCTGAGACCCCGGGATCCACAGGCGTTGGTCAGTCTACTATTCCTGTCAGTGTCCCTGCGGTGACACCCTCCGCCACCAGCTCGAGTGGGCTGGGTGGAATTCTGGGCCCTATCCTCGGTAGCACCGGAGTCATTCCAAGCGCAAGCACTCCCACCAGCAGCTTCGTTGGCATCCCCACCGGTTTGACTAGTATCATCATCCCGGGAGGCATTAGCGGAACTGAGACGGGAACTTCGTACACTCAGATCAGTCCTAGCGTTCCTACAACTGCCCCCTCGGCCACCAGCACCGCTGTCATTCCCGGTAGCTCCGAAACTGCTATTGGTTCCTCGATTGCTGTCACGGGTTCCACCGCAGTAGGCTCGACTGTGCCTACCGGTCAGGTCACGCCTACTGCCACTTTCAGCAGCTCGGCAATCCCGACACACTCTACAACCGAGCAAACGACACCAAATCCGACAACCACGCCGGAGACCACAGTCGCACCCACCAGCACCACTACTACTACTCATCCACACGAAACTACCACCTCCGAGAACACCGACTTTGTTCCCTCCAGTATCCTGGTGGAGCCTACAACCACAACTCAGCTCTCGACGGCTGAGACTGCTACTGGCACCAGTCGACCCGCTCAGTTGCCTGGGTCCATCTCGCCAGCCAATGGTGTGACTAACCCTCCGCCGGGCTCTACCTTGATTCAGATCGGCTTCAATGGCAAACTCCGATACAGCTTCGTCGCCACGACCCCGCTCTCTTCATCGCAGGTCTTCCTATACGTTCCACAGGGACTGATCTATGCTTTGGAGATTCTCGGCAAAGATATCTCGATGTTCGCGATCCAGCCCTACGACAACTCGGCCAGCACCGGGTACATTGCAACCGTTGCCTTGGCTTATATTCCTACCGATAAGGTTGATACCTTGAGGATGCTGCTCCGTAGTCCATTGTCCAAACTCTACCAGCAGCCTAACGAGTCGGTCAAGACCTTGTTCGCGATGATCGATCCCTCCATCCCTCTTGTTGTCGGAGAATCCGGCGCATCTAGTGGCAGCGGATTGTCTAGCGGCAGTGGTAACAGCGGCAGCGGTAGCAGCAGCGGTGGTACTGGCAGTGGCAGTGGCTCTGGTAACAACGCGGATGCCGGTGCCAGCCGCAGCTCTACCGCTCGTGCCAGCTCTGTTGGCATCGGCGTTGGTGTCGTATGTGGCGCCGCAGCGTATGGTGCGGGTATGTTCTGGGTTGCTCGTCGCTACCGCAAGAAGCGTCAATTGCATCGCCGCTCCAATTCCACTATGGAGCAGACGAGTGAAGGTCGCGGTGCCAGTTCTCTCTTCGCCACTGGCGGTCGTCTTTCCCGCAACAGCCAGAATAGCCGGGGCAGTGGCCGGGGCCAGATGATCAGTGCTCCTGTCATGGCCGAGAACTCGCTGGGCTGGAACTAAGTCCGGGTATTGCAAAAGGAATAATTGATCAACCCCTACGATGTGGCTCAAAGATCATGGGCGGCAGTGGGACTGGCTGGGATAACGCCTGCCAGCCCTCCCTGCCTTCGGAGATACCTTTTTAACTTCTGAATGTATTCATTTTTTTTGGTTTGTGAAACAGCGCTTTTGGGGCGTTGTTTTTGTATCATTCTGTCTCTTTCTTCCACCATATTTCCCTATATTTATTCCCCATTTGTTCTTACCAGACTCCGGTCTTCACTTTTCTACTTTTCATTTCTTACTTTCCTTTATGGTGCCACAGAGAAGTACTTACCTCCCCACACCAAGATCATTGTTACCTTCTCGACTCGCATCGTCTCAAAGAAAAAAAATCAATTCCTCTGCTCCATACCTGGGTTGGGGGGTTAGGTATCTGTGATGAGTGATGCCGTATACTATTGCCCCTGGCCCTGTTCTCCCTTGATGTCTTTTAGTGTTTTGTTCTTGCGATTATTGTACAGATGTATAGTGTGAGTAGAGAGTGAACGAGGTCGTGTCTAGGATTTTTGTACCCCTGTGGATGTTGAATGAATGTCTGAATATTTATTTGACCGGTAATATATTGAGTATCGATCGATCCTGCGAGAACGTAGCTACGGATCTATAGTAAGCTGCACAGTTGCCTGCACAATGTCTACAAGTCTAGATGCGTCCTATGTACGTCTTTTCTATCATCAATTAGGTACAACACGGAATCATTGAGCTGAGAGCACCTGGAACTCCTGTACATGGCTGTGCATATGCAACAGAGATGAGATGAGTGACAAAGGAAATGTATCGAAGTGAACGGAGTCTACGCGGCAAATCGAAAAATCTAAATCAACATACAGGCTCAAGCGCAGGCGCATGACCTCCATGGAACGCCCCGTCCCAACCCAGACAAATATGAAAAGGAGATTAGAGGCCCATTACTCGGTTTTACTCTTCGAGTTCGAGTCCGAGTTCGACTCTGACCCGAACCCCAGCCAAGAGAGCGGTCCCGTCCGGCCCTTGGCCTCGCGCTCCCGCCTGCGCTCCTCCTTCGCCTTCTGCCGCTCGGCCTTGTATTCCTCCCAGGAGAGATTGGCGCTCGCTGCGACGGCCCCATCGGCTCCGAGTGTCGTGGATGAGTTCTTCACCGCCTGGGTCTGGAGGTAGTGCGATAGGGAGGGTGCATCTGCGTCTGCGGGGTGAGTGGCCGAGGCCGAGGCCGGGGTGGGGAGGGGCCGGACGGCGTCCTCGCCTGCGTAGGCGCGGAGAGCAGTGCGGAAGGACCATTCTACTGCTTCGTCGACGGGTTCGTCGAAGATGTACGGGAGGAAGGGGACGACGGCGAGGCCGAGCTGTCATCGCGTTCGCATTAGTAGCTGTACTGTACTGCCTTTACACTGCCGCTGGGGAAGGGAGAGGAGGAGAGGAAGAGGGGGGACACATACACCGATCGGAGTCCAAGTCCGCATGAACACGTTCTTATTGTCCTTCATCATTCGCCCGGAGTACTTGACCACCGAGTGGATCGTGAACGCCGGCAGACCCATACTTGCGATGCTCTGGAACACGGCCCGCTTGACCATTACCATGCGGTAGTCCTCGATGAGGGGGATGCGGGTTGTCGGCCAGGGGGCGAGCTCAGCACCGGCGCTGGGACCGCCCATGTCGCCTGTTGCCATGCCCCTGACGACCTCGTTGGCCGTGAGGTCCTTGGCGTCCTTGTAGGCTTCGCCGGGTGGGGCGAGGACGTGCCGGTTGCGCAGGTAGGCCTTGTGGCCTTCGTGGGCGACATCGCCGAGGAGATAGGTCCAGGAGATGCCGTAGGCGGTGCGCACGAGGTAGGGGTGTGCGACGGGGCGGAAGGACTCGCCTATGTCGGAGGTGTAGGCGACGTAGCGGTGGGCGGACAGGAGGATGGTGCGAATGCGGTTGACGTAACCGGCGTATCGGTAAGGGGTGTCCGTTGAATCGACGGAGCTATCCATGTTAGACGATGGGTTTGTCACTATGATGAGGTGGTGAGGAGGTCGCGGAGAGGAATGGTGGTGGTGAGGTTTGTAAGAGAGAAAAGAAATTCATCTTTTTTGAATGTTTTGCGGGGACTGGCGGAGATATGATGCCATAGTTCAGTTCCGCAGGGCAAACTTGGACACGCGACACTGAACGGCCACTTTGAAGGAGTAGCGACAGGGTACGCCAGGAGGAAACATACTATGGGGGATAAATATCATCGTAGAAGCCATCATCCTGGTCAACTATTTCCTGAAGCTGAGCAGGAAGCTTCTCGCGGGGGATCGGTTGCTGCGCTGTGTCTGTGGGAGGCTCATCATGATGATGCTTTCTCCAGAGCATGCTTTCAATTTGCGAGAAAGAAGATTAATGACTTGATATCGAGTGACAATCTGGACCGAAGGGTATATGTGTTCTGTATATACAGTGACAGCCAGGGGAAGGCAAGTAAACCGCAAGAGGAAAGCTACAAGCTACAAGAACAGAGCAAAGTAAAGTTGAAAAGACGGATAAATCAATGGATAGAAAGACAGGGACGTTCCCCGGAAGAACAATATTCTCTCATCTATTTTTATTCCCTCTGATTTGTTCTCGTCAGTAACGGCACCCGAACAGCTGCACAGCGAGCAGTAGCCGGGGTAGTATTGAGGAGGACGGAGTAATTCATCCCAGCCCTGAAGGCGTCGTTTGCCCCGAGGTTCATCGGGTGCTTCCCTTGGCCCAGTACCCTGCACTGCCGCTCTGGGTCCTCACCACATGAGATTTATGTCGAGTGACGTTGTGTTTGTAGTGATAGCTCTCGCAATGGAATCGTAGCATATACTCCTGCTCATATCCTGTAATCAATTGGTCACTGGTGGTGGTTGGCTGTTTGTGCTCTCAAACGTCCTGTGATGCGGTACTGCGGAACTTCCCGATCCTTCCTTAATTCGGACCGTGCCGGAACATCACATGATACCAAGAAAACCTATTATGTCATGCATTATACACGTGATATCACGGGATCTCAACAGCGGCTCTAACCGAATGAGGTAAAGACCAAGCCGTGCAGTCAACTTCCATCGCTGCTGGCTTTTGACGATTGCATCCGCAGGTCCTATTATTCTATTGCTCCATTCCCCGCGTCTATCCTCCTCTGTCAAACCTACTCCAATCCATCACCATGGTTGCCTACTACCAGATTGCCGGCAAGCAGGTCGGCTCCCACGTCGTACGTTCCCCCCGGTCTCTCCCGTCATATCTTCGTGATGCAACGACAGCCGAACAGGAGTCAGGTCACTGATGACATTGCAATGGCGTATGGCTAATTCTGGTCAATTATTTTAGCTCGCCATGGGCGTCATGGGCGCACTGTTCGGTGGTGTCTTCCTGTCGACTCGCGGCGGTGGTCAGAAGAAGCAGGCTACTCCTCCCATTCAGGCCTCTTCCAAGGACGAGGAGAAGTTCATCCAGTATGTTTGCGTCCATACTCTACACATATGTCGTCCAACGTTGCGGTTCCAATGACCTCCAATGACCTCCCACGGTCTTCAATGGCATACCGACTCTGCACATTATCATTGGAGTTACTGGCACAACAAGCTGCTTTCGATTGGGGCTAACCGTGGTCATCACAGGGACTTCTTGAACCAAGTAAACGGGGAGCAAAAGAAATCGGATCATTAGAGTGTCCCCCTTTGACGATAGGGACTCGCTCGAGGACGCCTTGCTGATGCACGACGAAAAGGAAATTGAACGCGAGATATATCCATCATGGAAACGATTCTATAGTTGGGTGAATTCCTGCGATAATAGACGGGATCCCTATAGTCGTGTGTGTCAAGATACGCTAGTGATGGGGCTCAATGGCTGTGCTAGTGGTGTTGATGATCTGTACATAATAGAGGTATACGCCATTTGAGATTGTTTCCTTCAACTCGCCACCAGGTGACTCGCGCGTGGAGATTTATCTACTCTTGAAGTCCCTCAGTTCCAGGGGAGCTTAATACGTTGAGCAGAGTGACAATATCTTAGAAGATTAAATGTAGAAGGCCTCGTAGCATGCAGCAACTCACGGGCAGACAGGTGAGGAAGTGCATCCGATGCGTATATCATTGGCGGATGCCGAATAGCGATTAGACAGAATTCGTCAGATTTAAGTATAGTTCGCTTTCCAGTATCATCATCATCATTCAGTGATTCGGTTTCGCTTCCAACCACTGGCATCAGTCACATGATCTCAAGAATACAAACAGCGTCTCCGAACCCGTTCTACAAAGATCAACTCCTAAAGCCTATGATGCTCAATAGCCACCTATGAAACCAATTCCCTTTCCATACTCCCTCAACATAGGGACGGACGTCGTTCACCTCCCCCGAATTCTCCGCCTGGTCAACCGTCCCGACTACCTCCACCGCTTCACCCGGCGGATCCTCCACGAACAGGAGCAGCAAGACTTCCGCACCAGATTCTCCCCCCTACCACCATCATCCGGCGCAGAGAAAGCTGGAAATAACGCAATAACACCAGACATGGCGCGCTGGCTGGCAGGCCGCTTCGCCGCAAAAGAGGCAGCACGTAAAGCTGCCCCGGCGGGCGCGGCGTCCCTCGGATGGAAGGATGTTATTGTTAGGGTGGGTGAGGCTGATAAGGGTAGACCGGAGATTGTGTACTTGAATCCTCTGGGTGGTAGGGGGAGTGGCGAAGGCAGAGTAGGCAAGCTGTCTATCTCGCATGACGGGGATTATGTGGTTGCTACGGTGCTTGCGGCTGGTTGAGGTCTATCCGGTTGAAGGTTATTGATGCCTCGGTCCTCTTCGGAAGGAATCCTTCGGGATGAGATGGGCATTTCCATGTCTCATGCGAGGAGCACGAGGAGCACGTCTGCTGGTGTCCCGGTGCGTGGTTCGGGGATTATCGAAGGTTTCCTCCACGACCGTCACCTGGGAATTAACGATCCTGATTGATCTGCTGCATACGCGAGCACATTCAATATGAC